TATTTTTTTACTATACCCTAAAAGTCAATCAACTTAAGAGTATTAAATCCAACACAAACAATTTTTAGGGTACTATATAATATGTGTATGGAAGTATAATTAAATATCTTGAATTATAAATCTACTTACAGCTGCTTAATAATAATGCAAATGTTATATTTTTGCTAAATTTTTGTATAATAGATTGATTGCTATTGCAATATGTATATGTGTGTATATATGTACTTTTGATATAAATTTAAAAATTGTAAAAGGACTTCTAATTTAAATGTATATACATATATATATGTATAAAGAACAGGTGTTTCTATAATATTATATTCTATAAATTAAACATATTTTCATGCTTATATAACCCTATCAAAATATTTTTTTTACAGTAGAGAACATAAGTATTTTAGCCAATCAATCAAAAATATTTTAATCAAAATTTCGCATTTAATAAAGAGACCCACCTACATACATTCTCTCAAAATATTAGGTAAAATATTTTTATTTATTTTTAAATTTTATTAAAATTAAAATAGTTTTGCTAAAAATACTTTATTATTATTTTATTAATTATGATTTTTTCTTTTAAATTCTTTAGCTATAATATTGCGATAATAAAGTTTCAATAAAATTTTCCATTTCCCTTCTTTAATTTATATTAATGACCTAAAATACACACACATATATATAATATACATATTATATATATTTTAATGTTGAAATATGTTTTAATAATCTAAAAGATTATAATTTTGAATATTTATTCAAAAAAAAAAAAAATAATAAACTCTTTTGTACCTTGATATTTTAAAAATCTAAATATTTTCGTATTTCTAAATTCCCTAAGGAATTGCGATAATACCAATATCAAAATCGAATATAATAGTAAGTATATAAAATAATTTTGTATACTTGTTTGTAACAATGATTGTTTAACAAACTAGTTCAGACTTCTATAAATATTTATTTTTGAGAAATAACATTAAGCGTGCCGGCGTCACATAAATGTTAATTTTACAATATAAATGCATAATTATTCTCAAAACCAAAATGGGCAGAAGAGTTTGGAGCAATATAACTAGACTGAACAACTAGAATGAAACCAGTAATTAAATAATAGCAAAATTATAGAATTCCAGTTTTAAATTATATGTCTACTATTATATGTCTACTTAGGTACCGTTGTGACTTGCTCAGTACGCTAAGAAATTTCTAAAAACTGCGCTTGCTTTATAGCGAAGTTCTCCCCCCCTTTATAACAATGAACAATGTGGAATAAGCAATAAACAATGCACAATGAAAATAACAAACAACTTTTTTGTAACATTATCATGCTGAATGCAAGATTAGTCATAGACTTAAAACTTGGAATTGAAATTAATTTCGCTCTTGTTGGAAAACATTAATGAAAAAAATTAGAAAAGATTTTTTATTTTTTTAAAATTTAGTTTTTTTTTTAAATTGTTAATGACACTCCTGCTTTCCAGTGCTCATTGCATATATTGTAATTCCGGCACTGTGTCAGCTTAATATTTAACTTTCAGACTATTATATTTGAAATATTTTCTGATATTTTCTTCTAAAATAATTTATGTAGACACAATCAACTGTTATACAAGTTGCAAATAATTATTTAAATTATTTAAGATAAAACAAAAAATTTTCTTTTCATCATAATAGTAAAAAGATTAATGTTCTTTGATTTTAAAAATCTTAATAATATTTTTCGAATTTCAAGGTACTCGTATTACTCGTAGTATGTAAAAAGTAATCAATAAATTACGCAGCCAATGAAACTTTAAAAATAAATTATATTTTATGATGATGATATAAGTCGTAATTTACATAAAATTAATTTAAGTACTCATTTAATAAGTAGTTGTAATTACTTTACTAATGAAAACCTTGAATTTTTTCAAACAAATTTCTCAGTTTAAAATTTTAAGCATAATAAGTATTAAATTAGCTTCATAAAGTACATACATATACTGAGTTTTTTGACGTAGATTATAACGTAGACGTAGATTTTATTGTGAATTTGAAGGATATTTTCCGTTTTTACTTGAAATAATCATAACTAAATACTAAATCTATGTTTTTTTGGTTTTTCTTTTGTTTACGAAATATTCTTAATGCATATGTATAACAATAAGAACTATAGCCCAATAATTTTCATTTTTTTCTGATTTATTTCAAAGTTTAAAGAAATTTGTATAAAAACGTTTGTCATAAGTTTTTGGTATACAAATTAATATGACAGGATAGTGTTAAATATCTTTAATTGTTTAAAACTGAGTTTAATATGACGCAGTTGAACATAGAAATACGTATGAACTTCTAATTTTAAAGTTCCGATTATAACTAAACCGTGACTTTAATTAATTGTATAATTAAACAGTAACAGTAAGTATAAATCATCCAATACTAAAATAAACAATGCTTTCAAAATTTTTTTAAATTCAGCTCTAGTTTACATATTTCAGGTTTATTTAAAGTTGGTAGAAAACAATATTGTGGTATTACATGCATAGAACAGAATGATGCCCAAATAAAGATGCGTTCCTATACTTTTATACAATCTAGCACTAAAATCATTTAGAATTTTAATCAAACGAATTTAAAACAAATATTTACTTACTACTCCTAAGTAAGTGTTGATTCAAGACCATCTTTTAAAAGGTAAAAATATTTTCAAAATAAACTCGATTCAATAATATTCTAAATTTTATTTTTTATTAAAATAGATTTTTTTTAGATTTCCTTTAAATCTTTTACTTGAATTTCATGTTTATCAATATATTTAAGTAACATAAAATTTATTAGAAATCATTTTGATTTTACCAGTTTTAATAGATTTATGAGAATAAAACTATAGTACTTATAAGTATGTTAAAAACTTAGCAATAACAATTATATAATTAATAAAAATGTTACATAATTCACAATTAAAATATATAACAATTTTAATATAATTAAATAATTAACTATAATTGATCTCAATAATATTTTTAATTTCACATTGCAAGTGCTTGTTTCTTTTAGATTATAAATTAAGAATATTCTTCTTTTCTAAATATCCTGAATAATAAAATATTATTAATATATAAATACTATAATTGTATACTATTATCATATACGTGTTAAGGTACTCATAAAAAACATTTCAAAATAATTCAATGTTCCGAATTACTAATATAACGTGTAATTGTTTAATTAAAGTATTGAGCCCATTAAACTAATAATATTAACTCAATGAAAATTTCTTCATACAACTTCAGAACAGATGGATGATGTAGCCAAAAGAAACGAGTTAAAAGCAGAAAAACTAAATATTCTATTAAATTTACAATTTAAAATGCTATACTTAAGTATTCAACTGTGATAAACGCTTATCTTTTCTTGTTTTTAATTTAAAATCTTTAAAAAAAAAATACTTAATCGGTATTATTAAATATAAAATACATTTTGTATATACAAACATATTACGAGGTTCATTCATTTAAAAATGAACACCAATAAAAAGATTTTCCATACCTGTAAAATTATTCGAAAACAATTTGTGACAAAAGCATCATATAATTTTTATTAATTATATTTTTTTTCTTAAATATACTTACTTATATATTTATTATTTGTTTTATTTTTTTTATATCCAAATTGAATTTATAATCCAATAATTTGCATTACTTATATTGTTACATTTATTAATTAGTTTAATTTATTTTTGTTCAATTCAAAACTATTTTATTGGACTTGTACACTTGTATAACACAATAATAAGAGCACAAATAAAGAATTGTTTTAAATTTTTTTTCTTTCTCTCTTAAGAGTTTTATACGAATTATTTTAATATAATTAAATAAATTAATAATTTTATTCTGTTTTAGTTTTTCTTAAACAAATATTCTTTTTTGCAAACTTTAAAAGATTTTCTCTTTTATTTCTTTACTATGCCATAAAGAAATTTTCTATTTTTCCTTTTAATATCTAAGGATTATAATTCGAAGAGCTGCCAAATATTTTTAGACTCTTGATTATTTTTTTGTTTTATTTTGTTATTTTCTTAAAACAAATCGGTTTTTTTTGCTATTTTTATTATAATTTTTCTTTTAATAAAATATAATCCAAGAATAAACAAACCGACAGAAAAAAAATACTCTTATGTTTTATTTTATTTCACTTTTTTTTTAATTTTCAATTTTCAAAATGAACACTAAGAAACCAAAAAACAACAATAGAATGAAAAAAAAGGATATTAAGAGTACAAAAATAAAGTAAAAACGAATTTGCGAAAGAAAAGTAAAAAAAAGAAATACTTTATTTTTTAACGTCGAGTAGAAATCACTGTCAAAAATTTTTTCGTTTTGCTTTTGTTTTGTTTTTGCTGCTTTTTTTTCTATAATTTCATTTCGGAAGTTGCAAGAATAATAATATCCTTTTTCCTATATATTATTAAGAGAAAAAGAGAAAAAATAATAAAAATGTAGCGGAACTTGTATAAAGAATGAAATTTTCTGAAGCACAAATTTTCAAATTAATCACCACTTTATTATAGTGACAACATTTTGTTTTACATATGATTCAAAAGAAACAAAAAAAAACAAAACATAAAAATAAAATCATGAAAAAAATAATTTACATATTAAATAAAAAAAAATATAATATTAAAATATAAATAAATTTTTAAAAAATTTAAAAAGTATTCGGTTGCAATAAAGAATTTGAAATCAAATTGAAATTATTAAATAAAAATATTTTAATTTTCAAGAAAAATTTAAATTTTTTTTTTAACTTTAAATCCAATTAATTCTTCATATTCAATTATTTAATTATTTTTTTTTTTTTTTTTGTAATTTAATAAAATTAATAAAAATTACTGCCGTCGGATTAACCGCGATGCAAGTTGTTACTATTGTAAAATAAGGAAAACAATAATAATATTTATGATTGTATTGTGAAACTATACATATATATACAAATATAATAATATTTATTATGCTCAAACTTACACATACACACAACACTAGAAATAATAAAATTTTATGTTTTTTTTTTTTGTTTTTTTCTTTTTACAAAAATTTTCTATTTTCTAGAAAATTATTTTACACACCGAAAATTAAACCGAACCGAACACGTGCGCAGTTTGTAAACAACTGATGAATTAAAATGAAATCAAACAGAAAGAACTACAACATCTACAACATTGAGCAACAAAACAAAATTAAACAAAAAAAAAATGGTAAGAATAAAACGAAAATATTTTAAAGGTAAAAGAAGGAAAAAGAAAATATTTTATACAATGTTTAGCAACATGTTGATATTATTGTAAAAAAATAATATATAAACATTTTTACATTGAATAATATTAGGAAAAGAGAAAAATGATACTTTAATAAATGTTGGAAATGAAATCCTCTCATACATAACTTTTGATTTTCTTTTATAATTTTCGATGTTGGCTTATACTACACCTTTAATATGCGTGCAACAAATATGCATTATTCAGTAGCATTTAGTGTATGTGTTGTCATAAAACAATTCGAACAGAAGTACAAATTTTTAAAAAATTTTGTGCAAGTTCAAAACTACCTCGATCTGGTTATTAAAATTATTCTGTACGAGTATTATAGCAAAAATTAAGCAAAAATTATGAATAAATTCGCAACTATAGAATCAGTTAAGGAACTTTTCGCTCTAGCACTTTAAGAAATGAGAATTGTGATAATTTCACTTCCGTCGATTGCAGCCGAACCTGGCCAGACAAGTGATAGCATTCCAGATTCCTGAACGTATAACATCATCTAAACAAAAAAAATTGTAGTTTGTTAAATTTTCATTCAGTACCTTCTGTATTTCTTACTAACCTATGTAACATAATATATATTGTCTGAATATGAATAACAAGACTCTTTAAATTTAAAAAAAGTTTTGTTTCATTAGTTTTTTATATTTTGACCAATCGCTGTTACTAGCTCTATTTATACTGATTTATTTTTGGCAATGAACGACATTTTTAATTCTTTAAATAACTGTTAATATTAGTTGGTAATTTATGGTAAATTTTTTAAAACTACTAAAATCTATGAAATATCAGTTGCAGCTATGCAAACTAAAATTATGTGTTTATCCCTTTTTCGGTATGGGGCTGATTTCCAAAAATCTCAGTGAACAAAAGTTTTAAAATTCACCTGATTCTATGCTAGATCACTTCGCATATTTTTATATGAGCCGGCAGATTTTTTAAAATCTTTTATAGAAACTGTTTTAAAATTTTTTCTAAACAACTTCACAAATTTCGCGATGATCAATATGAGTGTCTTATGGCAAACAACTAATAATAAAAATTTTTAATTTCATTTTTATATACATACATATATAACTCAAAAATTTTAATGTTTAATAAACGGAAATTTATTATTAAAATTTAATTTATCCAGCAACGCAACGCATACTTATCATAACAACACACTTTTGCAGTAGCAAAACATAAATGAATGTAAAATAAATTGTGTTGTTAAGTGAATGCTAATTTATTCTGCAACAATGACAATATAATGCAAGTTTGAGATAAAACAAGTATTACAACATTATTACCAACATCGAACATGAATTATTTAAAACGTAAATACATTTATAGATCCAGTTAATACAAAATGATAAAATTATATACAGCCATGTTTGTGTCTTCTCACTCAAAATGTTAAATATTGTTAACGCAACATTATATTTTCATCTGGTAACAGTTTTGTATTTGTATCTAACGACATTTTGATGTTATTGCTGAAAGGAAAAAGATTAATACAAAAACAAATCAAAAGAATTCTCTGTTGCTATAAAATGCATGATTTGCAATCACTGCACGTTAACATTTTACGAGTAACTTAAAGAATATGTAATTGACTAAAGCATGCGTAAAATTCAGTGTTTTCACTCATCAAACTGAAAATTATAATTTTTAATAAAAACTAATGTAATGTTTAATTATATCATACCGTTATAAAACTGTTATGACATACAATGTCAAACGTGAGTCTATATAACAGTAGCACAAAGTACATACATTAATTATTAATGGTTTGTAATCCAAAGAATTATGTAGGTAATATGAAAAATTTTATGATTGTAATTTTTTTATCAAAATTTATTAAATTCAAGGCATTTAATTTATCAAATTAAAGATGCTTGTTTTTATAAATGTACCTTAATTTTATAATATTTTCAAGCCACTATACAAGTTATTAGATTCTAAATTCATAATTTTTAAGAACAAATAAAAATTAAAAGTTTCTTACGTATAGCAATCAGGACCACTATTGTTACCAAATTTGTATGAAATATTTGTAGGATTTAAGAGCAGATATAGTACCACTTTATACAAGACATATCTTTACTAGTTTGCTTCTTAGAAATTTAATTTAAAAATGGTAGTATCCTAAAGAGGATGAAAAATGAATATAAATACTTACTTAATTATGTAAAAAGCCCCTAATTTTATAATGCATTTAAAATTGAAATTTTCCTTAAGACAACAAAATCTTCTTAAGATAATAAAATTTTTATCTTCGAGCACAGGTGAATTTGTTGTTTTTTAATATCAGTAGTAGCATAATACCTATACAAAAGTCTAATCAAAAATTCCTTTCATTTGAACTTAAGTTTCTTAATGTGGGGAAAATATTAATTATTTTGAAATTTTTCAGAGAGCATTTAAATATTCCACTTTTAATTCGGTGTTATTGTTTTCGAAAAAAGTAAGAGCATATTATGTAAGTTCGGTTGAAATTCCAAACCGTATGAACTCTTATGAATATTTAAACGTATATTGTTTGTATTATATTGTTGATCTTGCATCGAAAAGTTTCGTTTGTTGAAAGAACTTGTTATTAGTTCAAACTTAAATTTATTTCAAATTAAAACCCAAAATTCACCCAAAAATGATGAAAAATCAAATTTACAATGATTACATGAGTTTTGTAAGCGTACAAGCACATTAATTGTGTTTATGAATCTTTGTTTGTAATAAAGAGGATGATTATCTAATGATTCTCTTAGGAGTGTCTAAAGAATATTATTTTCAACTAAGCTCGTGCTCATTTTTTGTTTTCATATTATATAATGTAAATTTATTTACTTTTATAAAAATGAGAAACCTTGTGGTAAGTAAAGTTAGTAAAAAGTTATGTTTTGCACTATATTGAAACTCTTACTTATCATCTTATCTAAGATATACCTTTGAAACTCTTTTAAGTACAAGTTTTTGAAAACACTTGTATTCAAACCACAAGCAATTCATTAATTCGACTATCTATACCAGTGATGAGCAACCTTTTATTAAATTGGACTAAATGAGAAAAAGCAATCGTTTCCCGAGCCGCAGTTATAGCTGATTTATTTTCTAGTTTCAGTATAATAAGTAAATTTAATTTCAGTAATAAGCAATTTCAAGGCATTTTGTAGTTATTTTTGAATGTTTATTGAATGTATCTTAGATACTATAATTATTTTCTTAAACTTAAACACATTAATATAAAAATAGTGATTGCATGTTTATAAAACAATTATAATAAGAAAAAAAAATCAAAATTATAATAAGAAAGAATAAAAATAAGTATTAAAAGTTTTAATGAGAAATTTGACACTGCTTCTTGTCGACAAGTTTAGAAATATTTGTGGTTGTATTAGAAACTGCGACACGTAAACAGCTTTCCAACCTTTCATCATTCAGTCGATTTCGTGCTGAGTTTTTGATAATTTTCATTTTTGAAAAAAGCTGTTCGCAAAGATACGTACTTCCGCAGAGACTACCCATCTTTCTTGCATGATCAAATAATATCGGGAATTTCTCGGCGGGGAAATACAATTTATAAAAATCGATGAGACTAACTTCTCGAAATTTATTTTTAAGGTCGCTCTTACATTTCAATTCAATACGCTACATTTGAAATTTATCTTCTGTATTTTCTGGACTTACGCATTGAGCATACTGCAAAAAGCCAACATTTAACTAAAAAAAATATTGTCTTTGGGAAATCTTTTTTTTAAACAATAAGTAAATAAATGAAACAAACATAATTTTTTTTTAAGTCGCAAGAAAAAAATTTGTCGGTACAAAATATTTGTTATGTACAAAATATTATTTTGTACATAACAAAATAATATTGACGACATATTTATTTAATTTTAGAAAATCATGGAAAATTTGAAGATTTCAAGCTGATCCTTGAAACTTAATCGTACCATATATGTTATTCTTATTTTAAGTCACATTCCTCCTAGGCAATATTTTGAATTTTAATTAGATTAAGCAGAATTTGCTTAATCAAAACAAAATATTTTACACTTCCTTCTTCTATTCGAATTGCAAAGTGATGTCAATTTTGGAATTTATGTGAACCTTCATTGAACTTTTACAAGCAATCATTTAGCTTTCCAAAAATAAATATGTATTTTGTATAAATTTGATGTACTTTAACTGAAATATAATATGTATTGGAATTAGAAATCTATAATTCAAGCTTTATTTACATTTTTCGTATTTATGCTTTAAATATCCTCCTAAATATATGCAATACAATATGAATCAAATAGTTAATACGGTAGAAAACCTTTTTCACTATTTGCATCTAAGTTCAGATATACAGGATGTTTCGCATAAGACAAATGATTTCACGGATTATTCTTTGATTAATTTCCAACAAAAAATTGTATTGGTGGGATGGTTAAAATAAACACGTCTTCGAGCTACAGCCTGTTGGAAAAAAAGTATTAAACTTTTCCTACATGTAAATAAATACTTATATAACTAGCGGAACTATACAACAGAGAGTAGCAATGGAGGCTACAGACGATTAATTGCTCTTTATTTCTGGTCTTACAATCAATTGAACATTTTTTCAAATTCGAATTGAACCATGATTTTCGAAATAAAGCTCGTCAAAGTCAGAATTTTTGTTTTTCTTTTTGAAAATTTTTATAAAAATTTCGAAATTTTGTCGAAATTGAAATTAAAAATTGATCAAAGGATCATTCCTGAAAGTATTTGTCACCTTATGTGAAACACCCTGTACATACGAATATTAGTTTTAAATTTAAATTCTTATAGAATATAGGATCATTTTTAGGAATTGTTATTGGTTTGACAT